GGGTTTGGGTTTGGGTTTGGGTTTGGGTTTGGGTTTGGGTTTGGGTTTGGGTTGGGGATTGGGGGTGATGGGGTGGTGGGCCAGACTTTACACTGTGCCATATGTAAGTTCTTTTATTGTGCAAAGTAGGAGCTGATGGTGTAAGGGAAATGCACAGCACGAGTTGAAGTTTGACCCATCTTGCAGAAAGGAGAGTTTGTGAAAATGGTTCTTTTTTTTCTCTGTTGGCTGAATGGCATCCTGCAAGGGACAGTGCTGGAGTCTCGATTTTTGAAAATTCATATCAATCACTTAGATGATGGGAATGAAGGCATGGCAGCTAGATTTGAAGATGATTAGCGGATAAGTAGGAAAGCATGTTGTGAACAGCACATACAAAGATTGTGTGCCGATTATGGGTTAGTTGAGTGAGTTGGCAAAAATCTGGCAGAGTAGTATAATGTGGGGAAAGTATGGAATTGTTCATTTTAGCCGGAAGGGCAACAAGAACAAAGTGTTACATGCAGACAATGGCTGCAGAATTCCAAGGTGAAGAAGGACCTTGGTGTTTTAAGGCATGAGTTACAAAAAATTAGTATGCAGGTGCAGAAAGTAATTAAGAATTATAATTGGATGCTGTCCTTTTTTTAAATGAGGAATTGAACCAGAAAATGAGGATGTTATGCTTCAGTTATACACTGTTCTTTGTAAGACTATATCTCGAAAGTGTGCAAGTTTCGTCTCCTGCTTTAAAAAAGCTATTGAAAAGAAGTTCGCTAGATTGATAACATAGAAACTAGGAGCAGGGGTAGGCTGTTTGGTTCTTCAAGCCTGCTCTGCCATTCAATCTGATCATGCTTGATCTCTGTCTCAGTGCCATATTCTTACATTTCTCTATACCCCTAGATGCTTTTGAAATCTAAAAACAATATCTCTCTCGTATCTATTCAGTAACCTGGCCTTCACAGCCTTTTCTGGTGGGAATTTCACAGGTTCGCTACCTTAGAGCATTCTCACATTCTGCCTGTTTCTAGACTGTCCAGCCTTGTTGGAATTTTATACGTTTTAATCAGATCCCCCCTCATTCATCCAAATCCCAGAGAATATAGATCCAGTTGAACTAATCTCTCCTCACAAGACAAATCTGCGGTTCTGCATCATGAACCTCCGCTGCACTCTATATGGCAAATATATCCTTTTCTTAGGTAGGGCATGCAAACCACATACAATACTCAACATGTGGTCTCAAGAAGAACCTGTACAACTGCAGTAAGGCATCCCTACGTCTGAACTCAAATCTTCTTGCAATGTCGGCCAATATACTATTTACATTCCAAACTGCTTAGCACTCTGGCCTACATGTCACTGCCCCGCATTTTATGGCAGTGACCTTATCAATTCTGTTAATGCTTGCCAAATCTCCTGGTATTACATTGTTATAGTGGACTCGAGCATTTTTTGTACTACTAATGTTAGGCTAACTTTGGCATTGCGTTTCTGTAATGTAGTGGTTACCATGTTCACCTAACACACAAAAGGTCCCCCCTGCGAAGCCGGGCAGAAACAATGGTGTTCCATTGTTGCAGTGGCAGGTTTCTGGATTGATGTGGACAGAGCTTTCTCAGGTGGCATGGTGGCTCAGTGGTTAGCACTGCTACCTCACAGTGCCAGGAACCCAGGTTCGATTCCACCGTCGGGTGACTGTCTGTATGGAGTTTGCACATTCTCCACGTGTCTGCATGGGTTCCCTCTGGGTGCTCCGGTTTCCTCCGACAGTCCAAATATGTGCAGGCTAGGTGGATCGGCCATGCTGAATTACCCGTAGTGTTCGGGGATGTGTAGGTTAATGGGGGGATGGGCCTGGGTGGGATGCTCTGAGGGTCGGTGTGGACTTGTTGGGCTGAAGAACTTGTTTCCACACTGTAGGAATTCTATTGGAATAGTCTGTAGTTCTGTATTTTCTCTCTCTCTCCTTTAAATAGTAGTTTACATTTGTTTTGTTCAAGATCTGAAGGAACTGCTACAGATAACTGGAATGAGTGAGTTATCTTAGATTGGATAGAATTGCCACACTCGGTTTGTTTCCCATGGAATTTAGAAGAGTGAGGGTTAATTTGATTGAAATGTATAAGATCCTGAATATGAAAAAGAGGTTTCCTCCTGGGGCTGAGTCCAGAACTTGGAGCACTATTTTACAATTAGGAATTGCCCTTTTAGGGCAGAGATGAGTAATATTTTCTAAGAATTGTGAAGTTTTGGAACTCGGTGCCTCAAAAGGAGGTAGAGGTGTAAGAATTGGATATTTTTAAGGCAGAGATAGATTCTTGTTAGGTAAATCAATCTATGGTTATTAGGGGTGGTTGAGAAAGTGGAATTTGAAACAATGGGGATTGGTGGGGGCAGGATTGAATATGAAGTTGATGGGGAAATAGCTGGAGGATGTTAATTGAGGGGAGTGAGACAGGCAAAGGGGCAAGGAATAGGTTGGGGAAGACTCTTGGGGGCCATGATCTTGTTAGTAGTAAAGAAGGGAGGTGGAGCTTTGAGTGTGGAGGTGAAAATGCATAGGAGGAATTAAGAGCCAACAAATGATGGAGAAAAAAATTAGAGTCCACCATGCAACTGGGAGAGGGGAGAAGAGAACTGTCTAGATGATGCAGGAACTCCTGAGATCTGAGTATGGCAGTGACTTCAAGCGCTATTAACCAATGTGTTTGCATGCCAATCAGTGTGCGTGGCAGGGAACATCAAGTCTTACTACTCCTAATTTGTTGGCACAGTAGTGAATAATCAGGCCTAGGTTTAAAAGTTATTGGTGAAATGTCTGAGGGAATGTGATTTATTTTCACCCATAGGGTGGTGGGAATCTGGAACTCACTGCTTTAAAGGTTGGTGAGACGTAAACCAGTAACACAATTAAGAAATGACTTGGATATACACATATATAGGTTGGAAGGTGGATTAGATTGGGTAGTATTGTTGGTTGACATAATGGACTGATTGACTTCGTTCTGAGTCCTAAATCTCCGTGTTTCTAACTGCAATCCACACAACTTTTAAATATTATATCATGTGTTTGAGAAGACAGGTATTTGACACTGTTAGGAATAGTTTAAGTCCTTTTATTTATAACCTGCTTCTGGTCTTTTCTGTTCCTTCTTTTACAGCTATCATTGCAGGAATTTTACATTGGTAAGTGTTAATTGATTTCTTTGCAGATATCTACTTTGGATTTTTAGGAAGTCTAACGTGTAGAAAAGTTGCTGCTGTCTAGTATTGAATGAGTTTTGGCTTCATAAATCAATTGACTTGCTCTTTGAATAATTTTAATGTGACAAAGAAATTTATATTTGCACTTGTGCATAAAAGTTTTATGTTAGTTAAGGTAAGAAATAAGATCAAATGGAGACTAATTTCCTTAGTATTATTCAAGTATTGACTTCTGTAAACTTAGCAAATTTCAAAAATAGTGCAAACTATTTAAAAATTAGGTAGTTTGTTTTTTACATAGATAAAGACAGTATTTGTGAAATTATTGGCATGTCGCTAAAGTTTTGTTTAGAAGTCAAGTCAGAAGAATGCAGAATACAGGAAAGGAATAGCTTTATTACTGGTTTATCAGAACTGGCAGTACCAGCAGATAGTGTAAACTACAGTGACTGAGTGCCAGTTTAACAATTCATCTACTTTTCCTGGAGATTCGGGGAAGCAGGATTGGGATATGTAAAGTTGTTCTAAGGAGATGATATTTTCCCACAGCAATTATTAGTCTAATTTGTTTTAACATATAGTTAAACTTAATAGTGCTGATATTTGCTCTGTTTCTCAATAAGCAGTTGTGTAACATTTTATTAAGCAATGTCCATTTAAACAAAAATCTTCTTGAATTTTAGTGATGTTGTCAAATTAATCACAGGTTAAATTTTATCCCAATAAGAAGTTGAAATGAAGTTTGGGGAATTTTTTTTTGAACAAAGTCTCATTGGGAAAGCGACCATTGGGAGAAATTTATACTGCTACAGTACAAAAGGAGATTGGCACGCCAAGAGAGAACTGGAAAGGAGCCCAAATACCCAAATGGGCAAAATACCAGAACATTCTTCTGATACTGCAACAAAAGAGGGATAGTCAGGGAATAAGTCTAAATTCTCAGGAACCCACGTGCATGATGTGCAGCACAGAAGAGATAATTAATGTGCTAAAACATCTGCATTGGGAATTTTATCAAAGGAAAAAAGTAATGTGGTTTTATTCCACTTCAGACACTTGTCCTGTGTGATCTGAGAGTTTTGTGTGAAACATTGTTACTGGCTGGGTGATGGGGATGAAATCTAATTCATTCCTTAACAGTGCTTGAATGCACCTAGAAACGATGGAAGTGAGATGTGGTAGTTTTTGTGAGAGTACCATTAGCCAGTGGAGATTTTCCAAAGTGTACTTCTTTGTTTAACATAAACTAGATGACCAGTGATTTATTAGTCTGATATGGCTTATGGCCAAATTCTTAAATCTTAATTTGTGTTAAGATTAGAAAGTGTCCATGTAGGCATGGGTTAATCAAGGAGGATCACTGCTAATTTGTTCAAGGCATGTCATGCTTGACAAATGTGAAACAAAAATAGATATACATTTCTATAGCCTCTTTCATGATGTCAAGCTGACCAAGCGTGTTTTTGAAGTGCAGTCACTTTTGTAATGTAGGATACACAATAATAAGTCTGTGGACACCAAGCACCTGCAGTGAGAGAAACAGATAATCTGTTCTCATGGTAATCTTCAAGATATTGGCTAGATTGGAGAACAAAAGGAAAGCACAGAGAATGTGAGAAACAAATTTAGGGCACAGTTAAGAGTTTCTATTCATACTGTTGATCAACAGGTTGCCAGGTCTGGTAACTCCATTACTGGCAAATGACTAGTTGTTGTCCAGAAGTAGCTGCCTGTGTCCTTAAAAGTATGCGATCAGGTGGCTTAAGGGTATTTTCCATCTAATTTGCTTAAATTAATAGACCATAGTTTTCAGCAATACACCAAACAAAACAAGTTATTCCACCTCCATATACATATCAAGCCTGGGGAAATATCAGATTTGTGGTGTCACTGCTAATAATTTGCTTGCTTTCAGTTATCGTATAGTTACTTAATTTTCCTCTGTTCTCTGTAGTTATCTTCAAGCATATGAGATTGGAACCATTAATATATAGTTTGAAAACCGTTTACAGTTAAGTTTAAATTTTTTAGATGGCTTGACACTGCAAAGCTGTTTCCCCTTGGCTGGAGAGTCTAATGATCAGAGTCATAAACTCAAGGCAGACACTATTTAGAACTCGGATTAGGAGAAATTTCTTCACTGAGCATTATGAATCTTCAGAATTCTCTATCCCATGTGGTGTGAGTGCTTAGTCATTGAATACATTCTGCCCTGAGATCAAATAGATTATAATAATCTCAGGGAATCAAAATATATCAGGATAGACAGGAAAGTGGTAAGAAGGTAGAGGTTTCAGCTATGATATTATTGAATGGCAGTTCACTCTGGTGGGTATGTATGGTCTCTACCTGCTCATTTAAGGTTGTTAGCTACGGGACGAGTGATAGAATTAACTTGTCTGTTAAATCAACAGCAACTTTATTGAACACTTTTTAAACGTTGCTTCCAGAGTTGAGAACAAACTAATTTTGCTCTAATTTACCTTAGGTACCATATATCTAGTCTTTTTGAAAATAATCGACATTTCTCTCACCTTTCAACGCTAGAAAGGGAAATGGCTTTTCGCACAGAGATGGTAAGCATTTGAGCTATATTATTGATGAAACCCTGGGCTTGCAGTATAAGTAGCCTACCTAACATCACCTAGCCAGATGAGTCTGCTAAATGGCAGCCAAGGTATTAGGTAACGAATATGTGGTGTTCTGAATTTGAAATTGCCATTGACTGACCCCATTTCTAACCCTATTAGTCTCCACCATTCTGCTAAATTATATTCGGTTTTTGTAAAGGAGGCCACTTTGTCATCTTCAAGACCCCTGCATTTTGCTCCTACTGTATTACAGAAGCAGGAAAATTGTGCTTGTGAAATGTGGAAGGTTGCAAAAAAACAATTTTGCATCCTTAAAGTTGCATTTGGAGATTGATGTGTCAACATGATTTTTTTATAATTAAAATAGAGAAACTGATTGTTGGTGACTCCCCCTTATGGTTTTGATCCTCTACTTGAATTGAGTGTTATGTGTACAGATCCTTGTGCTTTCAGTGTACTGCTGTTTGTTACTGCTATTTATGCTAACACTTGCTGTGTTCTTCACTATTCATATATTTGTAGTCCTTGAAAATGCAAGCAGTTTACTTCATTGTTGCTCACTCAGTTGAAGTAAGGTATTGTGGCAAAGATCAATTAATGGAACTGAGTAAATGGGAGCTTGCTATTGGCAGTTCTAATCATCAGCTGGTTATAATAGTGTTGAAATTGGCTTTTCTTCTCATCAGGTGCCAGGGAAGAATATGTCCAAGAACGTTAACTGGGGAAGATTAACATAGAGAAGCCTGATTGAGGCTGAAAATGTTTAGGGGCATTCAGCTTTTATTGATCTCTGTGGGCAAAGGCAGAAGAACCAAGAACAGTAAAATCCACTGTGGGTGCTGTGATGTACAACTGACCCAGATTGTCATGTGCAAACCTCTGCTACAGTTGGACAGAAAGTGATAGCACAGATGTGATGGCAGTTTGTAAGGATGTATGCAATGTATGTCTATCCAACCTTCCTGAACAGAGGCTGTCCATCATCTGTTGATTTAATAATGAAATCTGTTTATGTTGGAAAACAAAACCATATGAAATTCAGCAATGCTGTTAGACAGCACCTTCCAAAATCATGGCCATTATTATCTGGAAGGACAAAGGCAGCAGAAACATGATAATGCCACCACCTGCAAGTTCCCATTCATCATTCTGACTTGGAAATATATCACTGTTCCTTCATCTGTGTCAAAGTCTTGGAATTCCCATCTTAATGCCTTTATGGGTCTACCTACAGCACATGACTGCAGTGGTTCAAGAAGGCAGCTCACCAAAACCTTTTCAGAGGTAACTAGAAATGGGCAGTAAATGCTGACTAAACTGGCAACGCCTACATCACATGAATGAATTTTTAGTAAGTTATAATTTTAAAAAATAAGGTCATATTTACAGTTTTTCAATCCCTTCTAAAACAGTGAAAATGTTAAAAGCTATAGTGCAGGAAGGAGGGGCGATTAAATGGAATAGTCAGGAAATTATTACCGAGTTGAAAATTTGTAGCATTGCAGGAAGTACTCTATCCATAGAATCCTGATGGATTGTTTTGGAAAGGAGTGTAATCTTTCGGCATTTTGTCTGTCTAGGGAACAGTCTACCTCTATAATGTAATGCTTGTAAAAATGTTTTCTTGTTTTAGGGCTTGTATTATTCTTTCTTTAAGACCATCATTGAAGCACCTTCATATTGTGAAGGTTTAAGTAACATAATGAATGATCGGTTGACTGAATATCCTTTGGTTATCAACACCTTGAAGCGATTCAACCTTTATCCAGAGGTAGGTTATCTGCTGACACCTGATTTCAAACCAGAGCCAATATTACATCAATCAATTCAGCAGGACAAGCGTGTAAATAGGCAAAGTGACAATGGTGAGGAAATTTAGGTGTTCTTTTATTGTCTCCCTGCGCTGTACTCTTTCTGCGCTCTCCTCAGCCTCACCAACTCCACAAACTAACTGATTCAGAACTCTTCTGAGCATCACCTTTTGTGCTAGATCTTGTGCAACCTTCACCCTTGTCATCTTATCTCCAAAAACTGCAGTATCAAGCTAGTTTCTGTGCTCACATCCTAACGATGCATACCCACAATGTTCTGACTGTTAGTTTCATTGCAATTGGGCAAAAAAGTATTGCAGAGATGTTGTGGACTGTTGTAGATGAAATTGATAAATTCGGGAGACTTCAGGAGCACAGGTAATGATTGTTTATTTCATATGCATATGTAGAAGGTCAGTCTTATCACCTAAGAAGTGTAAGGTTCACTCTGGTGGATTATAGAACACCTTCAAGTATTATATAGATTACAGCGTACATATTAACAATTCCCACACTTCAATATCCATGTGTCTGACATTATCTTTCTTTCCCACAGTCTTTCATGACATTTTCTATTTTACTCAAAGCTTTCAGATAGTGTGACTTCTATGCAACTAGTGTTGACAATCTGAATGTCTCATTTGTTATTCATTTCTCTGTACATCAGTGGTTCCCATATGCTTTGATAGCTTTGCTTATTACTGATTACATGGTCAATGCTTAAACCTTTAATTAAAGTAACTTCCAACTTTGACTAAAAATAATACTTATTGCCTCATTAACAAATTATAATTGTGTGTCTCCATCAAATGTCAATTCTATTTCATGCTTGCATAATAGCTTTATAATAAGTGCTTTATTAGCTAAAAACTAGTGTCTTCAGTGCTATTGCTGTTGGCAACAATGAGCTGTGACAATTACTTTAAAATTGACACTTGTATGATGGGGAAACCCTGACTTCTTCTCTGGGTAGGTAGTACTTGGCAGCTGGTATCGTATTTATATCGCTGTTGCAGACTTCCTTGGCATTTCAACGAAAATATGTTGGCGTGTGGACCGAGGTAAGGGCTTCAGCCCTGTGGAGAGTTGTGAAGGCAAGTTCTGAATGTTCAGACACAATCTTTATTCCCTGCTTTTCAATGTTTGTGTAGGTGGTGATCTAAAATGTATTTTTTTTTATTTTATAGGAATGGGAGACCCTGCCTACTTTTATGTAACATTTGTTTTTATTTTAAATGGGCTCATGATGTCACTATTTTTCCTCTACGGAACGTACTTGAGGTAAGAAGATACTGCAGTACAGTTTAAAAAGTGACCATACTGCAAGATGGTTTGCAAGTGGGATTTACATGTTTTTATTTGTACTGCAAGGCTGGAGTGACACAAGTCATCTAAAAATGAACCAATATCTAGGGGCCTTATGGGCCCAGGCTTTCAAATGGTCAATAAGAGCCTTTGAAAGCTTCCTAAAAATTCTTGTTAATAAATATCTACAGGCATTAAATGTACAGAAAATGTATCATTGCCTTTTGTAAGTTGTAGTCTGGAGTTTGCACAAGTTTGAATATTGTAAAATTGCATATCTCTTTGCAGCATATGTTACTACAGTGAGTTCTGAATTTGATCATTGCAGATTTTTGAGACACTTGGAGCATAACTAGCTTTGTTACCAACTGAAATTTGTTATTCCTGTCCTGCTCTTCTTGGTTAAATTCGGCTGTTGATCCAAGATTATTCGTAGCTTAAAACAGCCCATGATTCTCACTTGTTTTTCCTTTGACCGCACTCTCTTCTGCCTACCACGTCTGCCTCTACACCAGACTTTATGGACCTCTTCCTCAAAGACTTCATCTCCCTCACATTTTACTTCCC